CGCGTGTATGTTGGTGTTGGTTGTTTAGCAGGAAACGCGCGTCAGAAGTGGTTTCACGTGTTCCATTGTGGGGTGATTTGTAAGCAAAGGTGACTGCAGTCGTTCGCCACGAGCTACTGCAGCTGGTGAAGCCCAAACCGAAGGCACAGTCGAGTCGGATCGTGGTCACGTGGCCTGTGCGATTGATTTCAGAGGGACCATGCAATGCGCCCCACACCGCCTCTTAGCCTCATACACACGCGCAAACACACACACACACAGCTAGTAAAAACCACTTAGTCTAGTTACGCAGTCCAGCATTTGAGAAAAACACTAACTTGACACTACGAAACGCCATTTTGCGACTGGCATATTGGAAAGCACGAAAATTGTCCCGTATTTGCGAAACCAGTCGCCGCCGTCGTCGTCGTCGGTTCCGATTCGTCAGTTTGTCTGTCGCAACATCGACTGAACAGAGAATAACCATGGTGCAGTCGTGGTGGGCTTCGCCAAATCACAACAAACGCTGCAACTTGATTGGGGAGTGATGTTGCACATAAGCCACAGCGTCGTGGTCTTGCAACACGAAATTGTCGTTAATGTTTCAAGCCTGCAAGAAGGGACTAGAAAATTTCTAGAGGTCGGGGATCGTGAAGTTGCCTGGAAGATGGCAACACGAGAATAATTGCCGATGTGGTAGGTTCTACCTGATCAGTCCATACTAGAAAACTAGCCCATCAAATCGCGATTCATAGAAGCCGTGTGGAGATATTGTGGCAGATTATGTCAAAATGGATCTCACGTCTCCAGACATGAAGCATGTTTACCAAAACAAGGCGCACACTAACCGCTCCAAGCCTTAGCAACCACATCGTAGACTAATCCACCTCGTCTAATCTCAACCAAGGGGAAAAAAGGAATTGGGTTTAGAAAGAACTGGAGAAATAATAAACTGCCTAAAAAGATGGCAAAATTTGCACGCCACACCGACAATGAAGGTGACAACGCTATAACGCTTGTTAACAGTGACAACGGTCACTCCGTCCGAAATTTGAGTGAGACTAACGAGCACCACCAGTGGTAAGGCGGTTTATCGATGATTTTCACGCCTCGACCACATCAGCAACATCGACAAGCCTGGAATGAGTTCCACTTGGAGGCGGGGAAGGAGAGAGACGAGTCAGTGAGCCACTGCGTGATTTCACGGCCTGGCACACACCAACTGGTCGTGACACAAGCACGCGCGCCAGGGTGTGAAGTCCCTCGAGAGTGGTCCATCGCGCGTAGGTGTGTGTCAAGTGACCGACCATCACCGGGAGTGAACCAAACCTGCCAGGCGCCACGACCAATCATCGACCAGTGATGCCTCGAGTTGTTTGCCCTGTGGTGAGTAAAACGCCGGCCAGAACTCGTGGTACCACCACCACCACCACCACCACCGAAAAGACGATTGCACAACAAGATGAGCATTTTCGATTGTAGCCAGGACAACTTCAAAACTGATCAGGCACAGCATCGGCGGCAGCAGCAGCAGCAGCAGAAGTACAGGATGGATGGATGCATTGCAATGCAGATCTCTCGAGCGAATCGCTTACGAGTGACGCAAGTAGACCCGTGCCTGCACGCGCTCGACGCATTGATTCACACAAACAATGCCTGTCGTCGAACGAGGTGATGGGCGGGTGGGTTTGCACGGTACACACACGCACACACACACACGTCTGCAAAAGTCACACAATGTGTTGTCTGATCAACTCGGGTGTGGTTGAACCGATACAGGCCATCGCGTGCAAGTGCAGCGTGCTACCAAGAAAGACAACCGGAGTTGCATAACATCGGAATTAGTAAACACACGCTCGACCTGGTCACCACCACCGTTAGAGCCTCGGCAAGTGGGTAATATGCAAATTAAAGGAGAACAAGCTTTGTGAAATTCGACAGGTTAGATGATTAATTCGTGCACGTGTGTGCGTGATGCATTTTGGTGAAGCGACGCCGGTTCCAACTGCTCACAAGTAAATTGGTTTGAAGTGAAGTGGGGAAAAAAAATCTCTCGGCTGCTGCATAATAAAAGTTGGTAAAGCAAACCGTGGAACAACCAATGTTAGAGGCACGCGTGCAGAACCCGTCAAATGCGAAGGAATCCATGTGGCTTGGTAAATTTAGAAGGCATTCTGTCCTAGTCCTACTTAGTTGGTACCTTACACCCACGCCAACGCGAAAAAGACCACTGATCAACAATAGTGTGACCATTGGCGCGTTGTACACCCACCGGCGGCCAAAACACACAACAACAAGAAGAGGCAAGTGAGCAAATTTGGATACGGACCTCCCTTCAACACATCTCAATAAAAGAGGAGGTGGACAAAAGGGTGACGTACTTCGAAGAGTTCAGGAGCAGCGTACGGAGGACTGCCACAGAAGGTGTCGAGTTTCTTGTCGGGGCTGAACTCGTTGGAGAAGCCGAAATCGGCGATCTTCACGTTCATCTGGGCGTCGAGAAGAAGGTTCTCCGCCTTGAGGTCACGATGGACGACTTTCTTCTGGTGACAGTACTGCACCGCGGAGACGATTTGGCGAAATTTGGCACGAGCCTCGCGCTCCGCCATCTTCCCGTGCGTCACGAGAAAGTCGAAAACTTCACCTAGAGGTGGGAGGGGGGAGGAAGGTGGGAGGCATCTGAACAAACAGAGGAAACTGGTGGATACGGGGCCGCACTTTGGCGTGGCCTTGGTGGGACACAGTTGACGTGAAAGCGACACTCTGGCATAGCACTGGCTGTTTGAAGCGTTGGCCGAAATGAATGGATAAAAAGATCTCTGTGATTGTATCTGACTTTTACCACTCGCTTATTTTGGGGCGGAAAATTGTGGATATGCCAAAGTAGCAAGACCGAGGTCAACTAGCCGTTGTAATTACGTCAACAGGGTGTTTGGTTAAGAGAACAAACGTCGCTTTCTTTGGAGTGGATTAGACGCATTCAGTGAGTTAATTTTGGGTGATTCTTTCGCCTTATTACGCGCCTTGGTTTAAATCGTCAAGTAGAGTGACGAAAGCGCCTTTGAACCACGAGCCTCAAAGCATGAGCGCCGCACAACCTACTGCTAACACCCACAGAAGAGAATGTTTGAAGCACGATTGTTTTGCTATCGAGCTTGTCCGATTAATGCTGTGTCTGAAGCGTTCAACTTTTGGCAAGTTTCCGGAGACAACAGCTACAGTGGATTGACGAGGCTTGAATCTACGCATCAAGTTTTAACCAAAACCAGAAAAAAACAGTCAGCCAAGCTAACAGCAGATGACATCCAGACATACAGGAGCGTCAAATGCGTAACGCGTGACTTTGCAGTTGCTCTGTAGTCAACAGTATACACTGAAATAGCGTCAGATTACGTGGGGTGAGAGCAACACGCAAGTGCACGAGCTTACACGACATGTTCGACACAGTTAGGCACAGACTGGACGGGGAGTCAAATACTCATTGTAGCAGGCATGAACCCTCTGTGCCTCTTTTGATAAAAAAAGTTACCGAAAAACTGAAGTTTAACTGGAAATTCCTATCCTCGGAGCGAGACAGAGATCACTAGCACAACTCAGAAATGGCCCGGTACGCGTGTTCTGCACGACTGCCAATGACAGTATGCAATTAGAGTAATAAGCAGTCGAAACGACACCAGCGACGGCTCGTGTGGGTGCGCTTTTTTTTCCAAACGAGTGTGGCGAACGCCGCTCGAGGTGTGCAACCAAGAAAACCCACACACACACACACACGAACGCAGCAAATAGGCAACAGGTAGGGTGACAGTTCGAGGAGAAAATCCAAGCTAATAACAAGAAACAACTCGATCAGGGACATGCCGAATTCATGAGGCCCACCTTCCAAGGCAATTTCGCGGTTGGTGGGAGGAAATCCGTGGGGCTGGGCATGTGATGTTTGAACCCCGCAATCACACATAAGTGAAATGAGATGGGAATGACGAGGAAGAAATTCGGTGTACGATTGATGAATCCCAGGGTGATAAGATCAACATTTCCGACCACAACTCAAGCACACCAGTCGGGCGGAGGTTGCAGAAGGATGTGGAGGATATAAAACGACTCCTAATAGCCACTTCGTCATCTAATATAGGTCATCCCAAGGTCACGACGTGATACTAAAGAGATTGCCTTGACAAGACTACGTGACAGCAAGTGATAGAAGGCACTGATTGAACAACGATCGCTCCGTTCGAGTGTCGTGAGTATCGGTAAAACGACCGCTAACCGGTAGAACAGAGGAAGGGGTGTGTACCATTGTAGGGGTGTCCGTCAAAACACATTTAAGGTTCCCTGAAGCTAGAGGTAGAAACGGCCTTGATGTTGCTTATTATTGTTGGCTAAATACCCCACCGATTATCACATTGTGGTATCGCGACGCCAACTTTCAAAATCCGTGAAACCAATTCGACAAATTTTTCGAAGGAAGTTGAAGGAAGACTACATCGAACAGGCATCACAGGAAGCACGGAAAACAGGGTTACGGAGAGAAGTCAGACACCAAAAGGCGTTCGCTAACAGTTCAACTAAGCTATACAGAGAGGGATTCACACTGCAGACAAGATCATGTTCCGGGACGCAATAGGAAAGGCAGTCTGGCTATTTTTGGTGAAAACGCCCAGCAAAAGTCGCCAAGCAGGTGTACACATTTAAAAAAACCCCACCAGCTTGGCACGGCACTGCGTCTGGTAAGGGCACCACTTCCTCGATTGCACAATGACGGCCTCGACAGTGAAACCAACGACATCGGGATCATAAAACCTGTTTTCCACACAACAGGCAACCAACCGTGTCGTCAAAATGTTTTAGGGTTTTAAGACAACAACGTCAGAACAGAGCAACTGCAAGGCACTGTGGCTTTGTGGTTCAAAAAACGCCAACAATCACTTGAAAATATTATTTGGGGGTTCGTTTAATTAGCTTCTGCATTAAAAATGACTTTGTTGTTGTTGGAGCCAAGAAACTTCAGCGGTTATTGAGGGGATATTCTAAGCACGTTCAAATCGGTACCCTAATAATTGGAAATCATTTTCAGGCCCCAAGATACGCACACTTGCAATACATGCCTTCCATTTTGACGCGTAGCAATCCAGCCTGGTAAAGTTAGACCTCGTGGTTCATAGGCAGTCACACATCCATAAGCCGGAAGCGTTGGAGCAAGTTTGGTAAGCGCAGCCTACTTGAGGAGTTTGGGCTAATAACGCAGTTGCGGAGGTGGTGAAGCAGCAGTGAACAGATAATTTTGAGTAGATAGTCAAAGACAATCCCCACTAACTACGAAGCCGCCTTTTGGCACGCGTTACTAAGGCCAAAAAGTACTTTATCGGGTAACTTCTAATGGAGACTTTGTAGTTACCAAAAGTGATGGCCAACACTCTTCAGAACGTCATGTGAAACTGGAGAAATCTACCAACAGTACAGCTACAACGGCTGAAGCAAATAATGTTTTTGCTCGTGAACCGCGCATGACGACAAGAGACTAGTAGGATGCAAACAAAAACAACAACAGATAATGTCCAGTTTTCGCAGAACAAATACAAGACAGTGGTTTGGCCATCAATGAGAGACAAAAGTGGGAGAAATCGTTGGGTCAAGCCACTTAGTTAAGAGCGTTTTATAAGTTACTACGGCTAATGCAATCAACACGATGGGTTAGGTTGTTAGTAATTCGTGAAGAAAGAGCATAAAAAAGTGCAACGTACCTCCACTGGCATATTCCATGACCAAATAGAGAACCTTCTCGTTGGGTATGATCTCGAACAGCTTGACAATATTTGGGTGGTCCAGCATCTTCATTATACGCACCTCTCGGAAGAGTTTCTGCCGACTAGACGGACTCAGCTGTGTCTTATCGATAATTTTTATGGCAACCTCCTTGCCAGTGATTACGTGGCAAGCAAGCTTTACTTTGGCGAAGTTGCCCTTCCCGATGGTACGAATGAACTTGTACTTGCCGATGTGTGGCTGGTCAGTGTTTGCGGTTGATGTGGCGGTGGGAAATGAGGAGCCGGCGGACCGAGTTGCAAAGGAGTCGCTGGCAGCACGACATGCGGATGACCTCGTACCGCTGGAAGGCTGGGTCGTGCCGTTGGCATATCGATTGCTACTGCTGCTGACGCTCGTGTTAGCTGGGCACGCGGTAAGAGAGGCGGTGCCGGGGGAGGAGGCCTCAATAGACGCAGAATTAGTGGAAGGTGGAGGGGACTGAGGTTGAGGAGTGGCAGATTGGGGAGAGCCTGACGAGGCTACAACAGACTCAGGTTCAGGCTGAACAAGGGAACAAAAAGTCATAGTTGGGAGGAGTTAATAAAAAAACATGAGACAAATAATTTCGCGTGGTGGTCATTATTATAAGATTCTTCACCAAAAGGACTTAGTATTGTGCAACGCGGACAAACAAACCACACAAGGCTAATAAATAACTAAACTGGTGGTGAGACCGAGACAAACATACAACACGACACAATGTCAAAATTTATGTATTTAGCCGATTTAAGTCGACACTATTGAAAAAAACATGATCCCGCAAATACAGCGACAGGAGTAAGGTAATTAGATGTCATGAGGCAATGGAACTCACGGTATTAATGAATTTCTCATTCATGGGAGGTAGAGTCATACCAGCTGACATCACAGCGTTTAATGGGACGAAGAAATCAACACGAACAACGAAGATGGAGTAGATTGAATCTAATTGAAGATTCAGTGAAACTTCCTCATTTGGAAGCTGGTCGACAGACCCGATGCCTTGTAGAGAGATTTAAGGCCTAGGAAATAGACAATAGGGTTGAATGAACAACGAACTCTTTGATGAAGTCGGTCTTATTAAAGATAAAGTGAAACGGGAATACAATAAACACAACAGAATCATTAAATTAGGCAACGACTACATATTTGAGATTCAACAAATGTTGCGTAAAAAAAGTCGTGCATTTAATATTTACAGTGACTAATGAAAGGACTGCCAAATAGTGAAAAGGATTGTGGTCAGTAGTCGTGACACTACGAAAGTGTTCAGGCATTTACCTACGCGGCGGCTACATAACGTCTAAAAAACAGTCGCTTTACGGGAATAAAACCAGGGATGGTGACATACTAATGTATTGTGAACAGCAGAACTGGTATTTAATGAAAACAGGTCCACGGTTGTAAGTACAATAGGATTTAAGGTTTAGAAAGTAGCAAAGCGAAAGAAAATCAAGCAACAACGGAGTAAGATCAAGACCGATAATAAAATCGACTTATATGGAGATGCAAAATATTACACTAGGCTCACAAAGAAGACGGTGACTGTTAAGGTATAATTATAGACAAAATCTAACCCAACACAGATAATGATTGCCACATTAATGAAGGACAAACAAAAGACAGATTCACTTTTGAGTAATTGTTAAGGCTTTATTTGGTTCCGACCTACTTACTATTATTACTCAATGGGACGAAAAAGGTGACCAAACTTGAAATATTTACTAGATTGCGTATGAATTAACACTAAGGTGACTCACAAAATAAATGCAAAATTACAACACAGACGTTCGATAACCGCCGACGCCAAAGTGAGAGTTCGAGGCGCCGAAATGGTGTGCCGACATAACACTTAAATAAAACAAACTTTATTTCTATCTCTTTATTATTTTATTTAGTTGTTATTTTTAAAAGTTCAAAAAAATTTGGCATAGAAATGTATTTGTTAATTTTTACCCTGTCTCGTTCGGAAAGTGTAAATGTTGTTGATGTTAGCTTAACGACTGTTGTTGCTTGTAAACGCCAAGGTCTGCCCCTGTGCTGGTTTGTCAACTTTATGTTGCTTGAGTTCCATAAATGGTTGCTATTTTGTGCTTAAGTTTTATGTACCAATTTAGTGCATTCTTGTTGTGCGTTTTTATCTTGTATTACACTACATCTTCATAGACATTTTGCTTTGCTCAGATCCTCCTTCTTTTCGGAAGGAACATTGCATAGATATCTTGTGTTAGCCTTATAAATACACGAAGTCATTCCGTAGTAGTCAAAATACTGATGTATTCTTGTTTTTAAGTTCTCAATTCGCATTTTGTTGTCAAACATTGGATTGTTTGGTCGATGAATTTTGCTAGCCGAAGGAGCTAATGTGATCACACCTTACCTGCATCAACTGAAATTTGCAGTTATGTGTTCCTGGTTCGATAATGAATTGTTCCCCTATAAAAGGATAATGCTGCTTAATGAAACAAATTGGTTTCAAAATCATGTAACTGTGCGAAAAAGAACAATGCATAATTCTGTGTGGATTAGGCAAAACCCATATATAATTCTTGAGTGGTATTGAACGTTAAATTGCGATTCACGCATCCGTTTTGATTAGTTTAGTCTTTTAAAAGAACTGTGACGCAGCAAATTTATATACCTTTGTGATATGCGCAAAATACGCATTCTGCTCCGACGAAACGATGACTATTCACCAGTTTGATGCAGAATGAAGTCTTTTACACAAACTAGGGAAGGCCTATACTGACTTCTTTGCTGCTCTGTTCTCCATAGAACTTCTAAGTGCTTTAAGCCTTCACTTTAATTGTGTTATCTCTGTTTATACTTCAAATGCGTTTTTATTCTTTCCGGTCGATTCTAACTCACTTTGTATCAGGTATTGTAAATATTTAGTTGTATAAAAATGTCTGCAACCTTTGCTGTTTGTAAATATTAGTTTCATTTGGCTAATTTGTTGTGAGTGTATCTTTCTATTCACCGTTTTCGTCTTTTGTGATAATGTGTCCTCTGTAATGTGTTGTGAAGCCGTTGCCTGGGACGCCTCATTTTACTTTTGCGTTCTTAAGATGCCTCTCACGCATGACAAAGTCTGGTCTTTGCTACGAAGGCAATTCTTGTCGGTATCCGGATTCCATTATCGTCGAGTTAACTATAAAGCCACCCTGAACAGTCCGGTGTTTCCTTTTGCAATTGAGCTTGACCACAAGGTTCGCCTCATCAAAGGTTGGCAGATTTGCCCATCGGTTCTATCGCTGCTGTTTAGATCCTGATCATGGGAAAATTTCCGATGCAAATTTCATTCTCCACGACGGTCCGCCATACGCCAACGGTCCAGTTCACTTTGGACACGCGCTAAACAAGGTACGGTAGTGGCTGTATAATATCAAACGTCAGATTCTCAAAGACTTTGTTTTGAGGTTTCATAAAATTCATGGCAAAACGGTTTCTCTTGTCCCTGGCTGGGATTGTCACGGGCTTCCTATTGAGCTTACAGTAATCGGGAATAATTTTTCACTCCCTCCTGCTGATGTTAGGATAGCTTGTAAGGATCTCGGTATTTTCAATCTCTATTTTCTCTAGCGCTCCAACGTGCCATGACGTGTATGGCCAAACAAATGTCCTCGTTTAAAGATTTTAATGTTATTGCCGATTGGAACAACGCGTATTCCACACTAGACCATTCGTATCAGTCAGCAGTGATTTCTTCATTTTATGAGCTGTATGCGAAGGTGAGTGGAATGAGAATTTCCAGACGGGTTTTGTTAGGGGTTTATTGTGCGTGAACCGAAGCCTGTCTATTGGTCTCGTGCTACTCGGTTTGTTTTTCTCGCTTGAGTTCTAATTCATCGTAGCTCTGCCATCTCCGAATCCGAATTGGAGTACAACGCAGATCACGAAAGTCCTTCTGTGTACTTTTTGGTTGAATTGAACACTCAACCTGCGTGGATCCCGAGTACGTGTCCAATTGCCTTTCTCTGACTTTGTTTGTAGCACGATTACGTGGGCATCCCACTTGGGTGGTTATTTGGACAACAACACCGTGGACGATCGCTGCCAACGAAGCAGTGATTTTCAGCTCATCTGAAAAGTACGCTCTTTCCATGGATGACATTCCCCTTCACGTAGGTACGCTGCGGTATTGGATAACCACACGAATCGGATCCTTCTGATCGCGCATTACCTGGCACAATCTCTCGCCGAATTGACATCTTCCCCTGCTAGCCGATTTGAATTGGTTGCCTGTGCCACTGGAGGTGCCTCGATTTCGCCTCAAGTTACGCTCTTTTTAGATCATTTCGAAAATTACGTCTACAAGCACCCCCTGGGGAGGTGTGATCGACCCTACCGCCTTATGCCGGGTGATTTCATCCAGCGTGAAAAGGGCACCGGTTTTGTGCACTGTGCTCCCTCCCATGGCAAAGAAGACTTTGACTTCGCCAAGCACCACAAGTTGCCTCTTGTAAGTTGATCCCCATCGGCTCTGACCTCGCTCTTCCAGCGCTCACTTGTAGACAGTGAAACACGATTTACTGACGAGGCGGGCCGAGACTTAGCTGGTCGCTTTGTGCAGGATGACGGAAACTCCGCGGGTATTGTTTATTTACGTTACTGAGTGCGCAGCACCTCTGACTAGTTGCATATTTCCTCTGCATCTGGGACCCCGAAATCATTGTCAGTGTGTTTTGCAGGTGCCGCTTTAATCCTGCCAATGCTGTGCGGTGATGCTCACCCAATCTGACTCTACTTTTGTACCGTTTAGTTATCCACGGCCTCGGGGATCGGGTTTTGGCCTTGAGCCGAATTCGCCACAATTTCCCCTACGAGTGGCGCACCCAACAGCCCGTGATTAAGCGCCTTTCAGAGCAGTGGTTCGTCAACACGGAGAAGCTCGAGAGCCTCGCAATGGTTAGTTCTGGCATCGCCCTTTTCCGTCACCATTTCTTCAGCTCATCCGTTTTCTCGAGTCTGTTGCATTCCCCTAATTATGTATTTTAGAATGTGTTTTTATCAGATGCCAATTTATGGGGTTCTGTGCTTGTGTAGTCAGTTTCGTTCCTTTTACATCGCCGCTGTCATGACATCGAGTAGGTAACTATTTGTCTCCCCAAACTGTCAAATGGTGTGTTGGTGTGTAAGTTCGTTGTGTTTTTCGACGCACCACCTTGCGTCTCTTTCTTATCCTTTTACCAATTTGTTAACTCCGTTTCACCCAACTGCTCCTTGTTCGGTCTTGAAGTAGCTGTCATGTCAATGCTTGAGATACGGTTGTCCCGTTCTTCCATTTTTTGTTTCTAATTACACTGCCTTTCGTCGCTATTGACTACGCGATTTGTGACGTACCAGCAAGTCTGCTGCAACTGCGCAGCATCCACTCTCCCATTAACATCGGATGGTCAAAATCCGTTTTGGCTGATTAGCTTCGACGCGACTTCACTTCCATGTCCTCTCTCAAATTGTCGTCAACGAAGTCAGCCTCTGTATGACCGGATCCTATTGCTTCATTCAGGTCGAACTTGCCTGTTTTGAATTTGACGAACTGGTTCTGTGCACATCTGGCTCGGTAATGATGGCGTCACCATACACTGACCACCGTCCACGTTTTGCCACCACGATTTCGAAGATGTAGGTCTTGTTTGCTGTCGAGAAAAAAAGCAACGAATAGGGTCTGCTCCAGCCCTACAAGTGTATGGTGAATCCTAATGACTCACGTTCATCCTTCGCTATTCTGACCTCATTTCCACGCCGTTCCTATCGCTCATGCTAAACCTGATCATATAACCCTGTGCTTGTACCATCCTCACGCCAACCATTTAGCCATTTTTACCCTACAAGTGTATGGTGAATCCTAATGACTCACGTTCATCCTCACTAATAGGTTCACTCAGACCGTAGTGATTGACACCCCATTTAGTTAGACATGTTTTTATGCTGAGTTGTCTGGTAAGCTGTCGTGTCTCTCCCATTCCTGGTCCTCTGAGTGACGTAACCCGGCCAAATTCAACTCAGCGGCCCTGGCTTGGTGCAAGACCACATGCCGGGTCCCACAACTAATGCGTCAGTTACTGGAAGTCACCGCGAAGTGCTCAACTGGAAGTGTCGGCATCCTCGCCATGTCGTCCGACCTCCGCGCGGTTGTGTAGGGTCCCGCGGTGGCACGAGCGTCGTGCGCTCACGTAACTCTGGAATGTTGTCTTTTCAGGAGGCCTACGCCGGTGTCGATGTCTTTCCGCCGGACCGGAAACCGATGATGAATCAGTTCATTGAAAACCGCCCATTTTGGTGCATATCCAGACAAAGGACTTGGGGCGTTCCGATTCCAGTGCTTTATCGCAAGCTCGACAACAGCGCCATTGTTGATGCGTGAGTGTGCGCGCGCTTCACTTTTAATTTCCAAAATCAAGAACCTCTCTCCGCACAGTGTGCTTGCTCCCTAGTGACTTTATCGGCCTCATTGCCGACCGCGTCGGACGCGAGGGCAGTGAATTCTGGTGGACCGAGTCAAGCACACAACTCATTCCAGCGTCGTGCCTTGAAAAGGTTCCTTGACATTTGTGCTGCCTTCACGAACGCACTCCCTCCACGCTCTACTTCATGGTTTTCTTCTTACCTGCAGTGGAATCTAACCCCGGACGATGTCTTGCGAGGAATGGACATATTCGATGTGTGGTTCGAGTCGGGGCTCTCTTGGAAGGCTGTGCTTCCCGAAAACCGTGAGTTTTTGCCGCTTAATCAGGGCATACTCGACCTCTTCTTTTAAATGGCTTCCTTCGGTCCACTTTAGGCATTGCTGATGTCTACCTGGAAGGTCTTGACCAATTCCGCGGGTGGTTCTCCTCCTCGCTTCTGCTCTCAACTGCCCTGACCGGAAGGCCGCCGTTTCGGTAAGGAATCCGCATCCGCCTCCAACTCGATGTGCCTCTCACTGTCATTTTGGTTCTGTTTGAAGTTGATACTTGTGACGTCGTATGCTCTGTGTGTCCTGATCTCTGTCTACCTCGTGATGCAAAGCCTCGTCACCGCCAGGAAATGTTCCAGAAGGTCCACCAACTCCAAATCTCTCGATTCCGTGATTTAATTACCCTGCCAGCGTTTTTGGTTGTCAACGGCATCACCAGAATCCCCTAGAGATGAGTACCTACACTTTACCCCACGCTCCAGCAATTCACTCTGTTTCGTACTCTTGCAGTGTAGGCGATGGTGAATATGACAACTCGGCATGCCCTAAATCCGTGTCACTGCAACGCCTTGTAGAACCATCGTTGTCCACGGCTTTACAACGGACTCAGAAGGTCGAAAGATGTCCAAGTCACTGGGCAATGTGATCGCGCCCGAGGACATGCTGCGTAAGTGCAACGGGGAGGTTGATGTCCTCCGACGTTGGGCAGCTTCTTCTGGCTTAGCGGCCCGATCCTCCGCTGGGACCAAGTCGTTTGCTGCGCACACCGCCGCCTACAAAAAGGTTCGGCCGATGCAGTCCGTCACAGTCCCTCACGGCATCCACATTGTCTTGTCTAATTCCCTGTCGTTTTGTAGCTGCGCAACATGTTCCGTTTTATCTTGGGTAATCTGCACGACCTTCCGGCGGCCGGGTTGGATTGGTTGGATCAGCCGCTGCCGCAGGACCTCTCGCTATTGGAGAAGTGGTGCCTCTGTCTGATTGGTCGATTCTGCGATGACTGTTTCAACACCTTCTATCCGAATTACCGCTATGAAAGCATTATTGCCGAGGGCGACCAGTTGGTCTCTCGCCTTTCAACCGTCTACTTTAACGCGATCAAAGACTCGTGAGTTCATCTAATTAAAGGCTCCTTCTGTATAAAATTATCCGCCCTACCGCACATTTCGATCGGGCCAGCTGCCCAATTGTGAATTCAAGGTCAAGCTAAATTGGTGATAACAATCACATTTGAACCTCTTGACGTGTCTGTAAATTATCAAAGTTGATGGTGACTCACTGACTCCTGCCGTTTGGTGCAAATCAAAAGAATGACCAGTGACTCCTGTCGGTTTCTAGCGTCCCATTGGTGGGCTCAAGGTCAAGCCTTATTTTCGACCTGGTAACGTGTGTAGGCTCTTGAATGTGATTGGCTTTTCTACTTCACTTGGTCCCGTTTATAGCACTGGGCTGTGTAGCCTCCTCTCTCTCCTTCGCCATAGGCTCTACTGCGATCCCCCAGCCAGTGAGCGAAGGCGGATGATTCAGAAGACTCTCCTTTACGCAACTGAGGCGCTCAGCGTCTGTTTCGCCCCGATTCTGCCCAATTTGGTTGAGGAGGTGGCGTCATCCCTCCACCGCACCGCGTCCCTGTCCCATCTGGAGCGAATGGCCAGTCCGCACCGCGGCGCCGATTGTTCGACAGGCTCGGCGATTGTTCGGACGGCGGTTTCGTGGGCCAGTAATCACGCCGACCTCCTGGACGCGGTAGCGCTTGCGAGCACCCTTCGCCAGGAGATCGCCTCCCACCAGTACCCCAACGCGGAGACGAGTAGATCCGCCTGGCCCGGTCCAGCTGCCAACCCCCTCGCCAGACTCCATGTCACCGTCACCACGGATTCCGATGGCGAGTGTCTCGCCATCCTAAAGGTGAGCGCGTCACTCCGCGACAACTCCTCTAAAATGACCTGAAAGCGAGATTTGCCGGCAGTCTTCACAAACTGGACGACCTGTGGATAGGGTAGCCTGGAATTGTAGCGCGGAAGGGTTGCTAGGCTGGTCGCGAATTTATGAAGCCAATATAACTCGACAAGTCCAGGATTGCAGGATGTCGTGCGTTCATTTGCGGCCGTCTGTACATAGATCCATATTCATAGGGGTGATGCAGCAGCGTTGACCTCCGTCATTGAACGCTACGTAGAAACAGGTTCAACAAGACATTCTAGCCAATGGTTACCAGTTTATTGGCAAACGAATCAGACGCGGTGCGGTCACAAGGCCGTTGCCAGATACGCGGAAACTCACGTTAATGCGAGTAGAAGTGCGCGCACTTAGCAAACCAAGAAAACTCGGTGTGACACTGTGATTGGGATCGTTATCAGAAATTGACGATGGGCACCGGTGTCGCTACTAGAAAACCCCTATGATGTTTTAACCTGTTATATTAAAATCCTGCGATTCGACTCTGTTTTACCACCAAAATTTCGCCTTTATCCTCCAACTATGCACGTTAGAATCGTGTTTGTTGTCACAGTAAGTCTCAAACTGCAGCACTATTTTTTTGTAAACGGAATGATTATTCGTTTTAGCGTCTAAACGAGGATGTTGACGCCGAAGGCTACTCCACTTTGTGCAAAATCCTGCGTTGTGTCTCGGTTGAGATAACCGACGCCACAGCCCGTAGGGGTGAAGCCCTCGCGGTGACAGCCAACGTGGGCACTCAGCGGGTCTCCTGCTTGTTGCGGATAGCTGATCACACCGCCCAATGCCCCCGTTGCCGCCTGTATAATTCCTCAAATGCGTCGCTTTGCCAGCGTTGTGCGAGTCTTGTGCCTATCTGATTTAGATTGGCGTATTTTTACTATTTTGTGTATTATTTTGGCGAATACATTTATCCCTTCTGTAATGTGAGGACCCGTTTCTGGCACATCTAAGAACTGGAGTTGGGTGTGCCCAGTGATTGATGTGTTGGGTGGCCGTAATTTGGTTTAAAACCACGCCCGCTTACGCTGCTTAGCTACCTGAGGAGGCAAAAAAAGACAGGCGACATAACCGTCTGCTAGGCACCTCAATCTAGTTGTAGCTGTCGCGCCATTGGAGTTGGGTGTGTCACACGATTGGTGCTATTCACAGATGACTGTGTGCATACGCGGAGCCGATGATCGTCGCGACAAGCTCTTTAATCACTAGTTCCGAAAATAATGGGTGTAACATGTTTTTTGTAACCAGGGTAGAATTACATTTGTGAAATTTACTGAGTTGTGAGTGTGAATCAACTTCTGATATTTCCGTGGGTGGTGTAATTTGCATTGGTTCGTTAGAGATTGTGGTGTTTCTGGTTTAAACATCATCAAAAAAACCCGTCGGGGGGGGGCCGCATTATTTGAGCGAAAACTCGAAGTTATCACTAATCTTCCTGTAAGTTTGTAAGCCTTCACTTTACGCAAATTAACGTGCATTATTGTCGGCGTTTAATTACAAATTTCGATTGAGGAAACTTAAACTAGCGCTAATGAGTGTCGTGCTTACTGCAGAGTTTTACTAACACCGTTGCGCTATCTACTCGTAAACACCTTGTCATTTAATCCCCAACTAGTGATAATCGGAATATTTTCCGTTTGATTATTATCAGTCCAGTTATTCATTTTTTCTCGTTTCCCTTAAGCGCCATGTAAATTTTAAACTGTCAAAGTTGTTCTGAGGAGCACCACGTCAAAAATGTTTATTTGGGTGTTCAGTGGTTTGCTGAAAGTCTTAATATATGGCCTGTAAACTTCTGGCCCGAGAATATTTATCTCGACAAATACGGAAAAAAATGCAATGCAAAATGCGTGCATCATAATCTTATGGGCTGTTTTTGAAAGCTCCTTCTGACTAACCTAATCACAGAAAAGTGGGTACATATTCAATCTCTGAGTTCGAATGTTAAGCAAAGCCGTTTGCTCACGATCGACATTGTGCTTTTCGAACGTCTTAGATATAATTGTACTCATAATTTATATTAAGATACGGACCAATACATAAGAAAGCAAATCCATAGAGTTTAGTTTTTTAGTAAGCCAATAGGCATCAAAACACACGAGCATGTCTCACCATATCTTTGCTATTTATCCATTTTTGTGAGCAGCAGGTGGCAGTACGACGAATGGAGCATCTATATTTGTTGAATTTACCCATGTGGTAATGACGCCTTCGAAAATTCGAAAATATGGGCATTAATCTTTATAGGAATTCGTAATAAATTTAAGTTTTACGTACCATTTTACATTTTTAGCTGTTGCAATGGATTATAAGTAATCTTAATATTCACCTGAATGATCATTTATAGCTAGAGTATTATGTTAAAGTAGTTCATAAACACCAAAATTATGCAATAAAAATGCGTAGGTAAGCAATAAAACCTATTACTAATCAAAAACACGGCATCTATTAACTATTTTTTTTACAATAAAACATCGTAATTGTGCGACAAGAGGGGTTTTGAATATCTAGATAGAATGCATTCATGGAGAAGTCGACATCCTTCACTTAAGGCTTACAACGACGATATTTTGTCACGTTTATTATTTTGTGTCAAACACTGATTTTATTGCGGGAATTAGGAAATACACGACCAGATTATAAGAACCGATTTTAATACATTAGGAATGCGATAACTTTTTTTACATCCAGATTAGGGAGCCGATTGATGGATTTTAATTTTTTGTGAATTTTCAGGAGAAAGGCACACAATCATTTTTCTTTTCAACAGATATTTGTTCAAAACGAAGGTATAAATCTCACTCTTAATTATAAATATGAGAAAATTCTAAAAAAAAGTTGCAATGCTCTAAATTTAAAAATAATTTGTTATAATCAGCTACTTGGTTCACCGGTTCGTCTAACAGCATTAAAAATGGATGAAGTGGGTAGGTATACGCGGTCATGGAAATGTCAAGTATCTGTTGGGGAACTCTATAGATGGATATTAGCGAAGCTGTCAGACAAAGATATTAAGCGGGCCCTGCATAAATACCGTGACCTAATGCCTAGACAATCTGACTGGAACCGCAAACTTACTCAGGCTACAAATATGCCCGAACTTGGTTTCCGATACCTATATCGTTGTGGGCAGATAGATGAAAGCAACCATCGCACGATGCAAAAGATGCTTAAATATATTGACCGTCAGGACGTGCTGCCTTATTTTGACACGATTCTATACAACACAAATAATGCCAATTGCTCGATTGAGGAACTCAAAAGAGGTACCCTCATGATGTTTGTTGACAATTTTTCATAGTTCTACTTGACAAGGTTGATGCTTTTCTTCAGTACTCTTCCGTGCTTGGGGAAGAGGAGGTGCATCCGGAGCAGCCGTACGAAATTATTCAATGCCAGCCTCCTGAAAGCCGCCGCGTAACAAGGTAGTTTATTCAATACTCGAGTTTATATAAATTCCAGTTTTGTAACCCAGGACTGCGCTGCAAAGCCATGTCTGTTTGTTTGATTGCATTTGGCTTTGCTCTGTTCTAATGTTTACTTTTTCCCCCAAACCCGTTTTTCCTGAGCCCTAAATCACTGTTGGAACCAGATTTTGTTAATGAATTTAGCCGATAAATGCAAATAGCTTTCTAAATTTGTAGAAAGTTTGCTAAATTATTATTCACACTCGAATTATGGTTCATTGATTACTAGTTGTTGTGTCAAGTCTGGACTTACAGGTCATGTTCGTTCGAGCGCGTCTTCTCACACTTAAGTTGTTGTGTATACGATACCCAGGGTTTTGTCATCAATTTTCAATTGTAGGGCACAGGCTAAGCGCAAAGCCTCTTCGGATCAAGCACGCTGCGTGACTGTAGCAAAACGCGCTCGACGCAGCTCAATAACCGCTCATCCGAGCAGTGGTTCAGATAGTTCATTGGTGGCATCGTGTTCAACCGCGCACGGAGACGCTCAGTTGAATGAGTTAGCCGCTAGCTGCTGTGGTCAGGTTCGCTCGGCCATAATGGCCGGTGCACTTGGTGGGCAGATTATACACGCCCTGCTCTCTGCCTCTTTGATAAGCATGCTCTCTGTCCTGCGCATGACGCTTGCAGTTAACCCATCCACCCAACACTCAGTCATGGTTGGTGGTAATGCGGCTGGCAGCAGCAACTCTGCAATGTCCTCTAGGGCCGTCGCTCATGTAAATTTCGCCGCTGGAGGTCTTTCTCCTTCACGTCTAATTGCCGCGATGCCACACCTGATGGCACTGGCGCGAGTCCATGTGCCACCAGTATTTGGACATCCCTCGAGACGCTTGCTTTACAGACCTTTGCCAGCACCGCAAGTGCCCTCGCAACAGAGGCCTCCTCGGCCACAACAGCCCCCTCCACAATCAGCACCACCGCAACCGCAGCTGCCGCAACATCCCCACCTGCAGAGAAACCTTCTCCTCTCAGGTGGAGTTGGCATTACGGCTTCCGCTAACGACTCGTGTATTCACTACTACTGTAATTTACGCTTACGAATTAACATCGACATGGGCAGCTCAAGGGAAATGCTGGTAAGAACGTGTGCTAATTGTGAATATAGTGGCGGTTTCATTTGCCCACCTTTGTGGAGTACTAGCCCAACATTGATTTGGTTTCAGAACCTCATACACGTCGACCGACAGGACCCTTACGGACGGCAGTTGGATATGTTCGTTCAGGCCTCGAATCTGCTTCGGACAAGATGCCCAGGAGAGTTTATTTGCCAGTTGCGATTTAACCATCTGGATCATCTTGAGGCCTTCTGGAATGACTATGTCTCCGGTGCACTTAGAAGGGTAAGTACCCTGTTTCCTGCTGCTTCTTTTGGCTATTTAGCATTTGTTAGATAAGTGGTCGGTAGGCTTGATTGCCAGGGCAAAAACAAAACATGCATGACAGTGGCTACATGTCAGTGAAACCAGGAAGGAGCCCATTGTCGT